TCTCTCTCTCTCTCTCTCTCTCTCTCTCTCTCTCTCTCTCTCTCTGTCTCTCTGTCTCTCTGTCTCTCTGTCTCTCTGTCTCCCTCCCTCCCTCCCTCTCTCCTCTCTCTCTCTCTCATTTTTAAATAGAACAAATCATTTATGGGGTGTATATAAATTTTTATTTCAATTACAAGCTGTTATTCCTAATGAGAATGGGAAGGCTAAGGGGAGAAGACCTGAAAAAATATAAATCTGGAAGCTCTTCAAGGAATTGAAGAATTGAATTGTAGCTAAGCTACATATACGTATATGGAACATGCTCTGAAGCAAAGGTTAGCAACTAATACCCATGCCCAGCAAACATACACAAGTTCTTTTCTTTGTGGATGCCAAGTTATTTGTCTCATTTGACCTTTATCATTTTTAGCAATAGCAATATGACTTAGACTTAAAGTATATACCACTTCATAGTACTTTATAGCCCTCTCTAAGTAGTTTTACAAAGTCAGCATATTATCCCCAACAATCTGGATCCTTATTTTACCAATCTTGGAAAAATGGAAGGCTGAGACAACTTGAGCCAGTCAGGATCAAACTGCTGGCAGTCGGCAGAGTTAGCCTGCAATACTGTGTTCTAACCGCTGTACTGCCACGGCTCTGTTTTAAGATATTTTTTAGAAAGTAAGTGAAAGTAAAAGGATGTAACACATCTGCAAGGCATGTTGGTTCATAGGGAGAAGGGGAATCCAGCATTTATTAGGACCACACCACACAAAATGGAACATAATAATGCACAAAGTGAATTTAATATAATGAATGAATTCATATAATTCATTTGCAGGTAATAAAACCATACATTATCCCTGAAAAATGCAATAGCTCTATCCTGTTCTAAAAATGATAAAATGTTGAAAGGGAACTCCAGATTCAAACATTCTGAAGAGTGAAGACCCACAACCTTTGCAGACACAGGAAGTGCACCACCATTCACATATCCAAAGAGGATGTTTGACCCTTCCTCCCTTCCTCCCTTCCTCCCTCCTTCCCTTCCTTCCTTCTTTTCCTTCCTTCCTTCCTCCTTCCTTCCTTCCTTCCTTCCTTCCTTCTGTATGACCACCCATCTCAAAACTGGCTCCGGGCAGTAAACGGAATTAAAATAAAATTAAAACAATTACAAGCAGTAGAAAAAAATGTAAACATACAGCAGCTGTGAAACATCAAATCTAAATCACTAATGCAACATAGATGTATTGCATTGCATTGCATTGTACTGTATTACAAATGCTGCTGAAAATGTTTCATTTAAGATGGAGAATCACATGCAAAATGCTATGAAAAATGCTCGGGGAAAAACACACCAAGCCTTGCAATGCATGACCCAGCAGGAATCAATCCCCATTTTTTGGAATTTAGGAGGGCACCTGGAATTTTAAGAAAGTGCAATGTTTTTGCAAAAGGTTGCCTTGCTAGAACGGTGTCTATTTTCCAGACAACCACCCAAATTAATAGGAATAATACACCGTACACATCCAGGCCTAAATAGCTAGTATTAATCCAGACAGAAATCATCAGCAATGATAGTTTTCAAAATTTTAAAAGTAAGCATCAGAAAGGGTTTGCTGGTTTAAAAAGGAAGCATTCCTAGGCACAACAGCGTTCTGGGGCACCAGGATGTCACAGAATGTCTCAGGATTTCAGCTAGGTCATTACAAAGACTACTTCAGCTGACTGTAGTTCTACAGTTCGGCTGTTCAAATCTCACCGGCTCAGGGTTGACTCAGCCTTTCATCCTTCCAAGGTGG